CATTTGGCCCAGGAAGACATGCTCAGGCACAAGAAGCTACGATTAGCATCCTCTTTACCAGGGGATTCCACTGGCTTGGACTGCCAGTGCTGCCCCTCGACCGGAAGTCGCCGAAGGCTCTAAATCAGCTCGACTGGTTCTGTGTGTGCGGTGTGCGTGTTGGCATGCGTGTGTGCATGCGTGTGTGCATGCGTGTGTGTGTGTGTGTGTGTGTGTGTGTGTGCGTGTGGCTCATGTGTGTGTGCTTCTGCATCCGCCCTTCACGAGTGTGTGTTTGACAACTTGATATCAAAGGGGAGGGGGGGCTTTCCTCTATTTACCTTCTTTGGAATTTATCAGATTCACATTTCCTGATTGTCAGCTTTCCAAAAAGCATGTGCTCTCTTTATTTGATTCAGTATCTTGGAAAAACTGAGTTCCTGAGGTCAGAACTGCAACAGCCCGACCTAATTCTGGTACCACTCCGCATCTGGAATTTAGGCGTGTGGCAATTTTAAGCATTTAGTTAAAAAAAGGTTGCATTCAACATTGGAGTGTGTGTCAGTGTCCGTCCACACTGCGCTCAGCCACAGGACACAAAGGGAGGAAGTCACTCAAGTTGGAATCTAATTGAATCCATCTTTCCATTCAGCGCCCGCATCACGTTGTGTTGTGTCCTCGAGCAGGGAGTGTCCTCAGGACATGTCATGGAGATTGTTGAAAGACGTGACCTTTGATTAAAGCGTCATGAGAGCTCATACAGAATTTCGATAAGTTTCCAGCAAAGTGCTACCACTGATAAAGTCATTTGTCACTCCCCAAAACTCAAACAACTGCAGAAATACATGACGTAAATATTTCCTGTTTTGAAATGTATCAGATGGAGACAACAAATCGATAAAGAAAGGATGATAGCCGTTTTGACACAAGTTTTAGTTTGGACTTAAACTAGACTGTCAGTGTTCCAATGGGAATGTTTTTTCAAATAAATAACAATAATATATAAACAAGATGTTACTGAATATGTGCATCTCTGCAGAATTGCTTATCACAAATAACTGTGCAAGATAAAAGAGACCTCTTCAACATTACCTAAAGAACTTAATGAAACCTCAGCTATGCTGAGCATTTTACAATTACATATATTTTTGGGCGTAGCAGACGCAAGTAAAAAAAATGATATATCTCAATGAGTCAAGAGGCATCTAAGTGTAGAGCACAGTTTGACGTGTGGAACGTTGAGGATTTCGAACAATAAAGCCGTAGAACAATGACTCAAACGTAACCATGATGCACATGCACACCCAGCACACCCGCTATTGTAAATTATGACACATCTTTAAGCATTGGGTGGAACCTGAGCGAGCAGGACGTGCACAATAATAAATATGAGGAAATAAATGAGGAAATCAAGCAGACTGCTAATCTCAGTGTGTGGTCACCAGCTTGTAGCAGCTTCTGGGGAAAGAAGGTTTTGATAAACGTATGGCTGCTCCGTCAGGCCGCTATTGCCAAAATTATAATCATCTTGGGAGATGAGAAAGAAGAATGACCGACTGAAGGATTGTTACTCTTTGTATTTCTGTTTTGAAGGGAACTAATATATGAGAAAAAGTTTGGAACACAAGACGATTGACGTTTTTCTTTTATTCTGATGGGTCACTCCGGTAGGTGGGGGTCCCATCAGTGACATCACAGATCCACGTTACCCATGTGGGTCAATGAAAATACTGAACAAGGGTGAGGACTTTTTCTAAGAATGTGCTGAAAAGTTACACAAAATCCAAGGGGTGATCACTACACCTTTATTTGTGTATGTATTACAGTGTGAGGACATTGGGGATTAAACATGTAAAATTAAACACATGGCTTAACGCCTAATACATAAACAATAAAAATGCTAAATATTATTCCAAAATATCTAGTTGAAATTTCCATCACGAATAATTCGTCTGATATGCAGGTTTAAATAGTATGGACATATTTAGTGACTAATGCAGCACGTGGTCTTTGACAGCGTCCCGGGAAAACAGCATCAGCAGCATCAGCAGGTTAAATGTTGAAGGCCTGAAGAGACGCGGGAGAAGTTCCCAAGTGCGAAAAACGAATGAGGAAATTCAATTTGAAAATTGTTAAAAGACTGAGAACATTGTTTGCAAGTCAATCGATTTGGCCGCCCGGAGCGCGGCAGCAACATGGACGTGATGGATGCGAGTGATGCGCAAGCTTGAATTGTTTCTCGGTGAAGCGCGTAACGGCCGATGCTTTTCCCCACATCTGTATCTCGCGGTGTCGGCCCACATGTACATGCGTGGTGAATAAAACAGAGACGTGCACTGTCTTCATGCGCGTCTGGGAGGGAATAAAGTCTCGGTGTGAATCACTTATCCCGACCGGCGCGCCGCATTAAACAACCGTGGCGTGATTCCCCTCTTTTCTCTCTCTCTCAGCTCATCCCTTCCCCCGTTCTTTCTTTTTTTCTTCGTTCTTTCTTTATCAGCTCGTTCACGATTTCATTTCTTTCAAATGAGAATTCGGGGACCCCCAAATTCAACCCCCCGCGTCTTCAAACAACACAACTGTACGGGTTTCACTTCTTTCTCCCGTCAAAATGGTATCCCAGATTCAATTTTAGATACAGGCTAAGGATTTAGACAGTGATGATTTTCTTCTTCTTCTTTTTTAGGTCTGTCGGAGACAATATTTAATATGCTGAAATTAGATCAGTTTACCCCCCCCCCATCCCGCCGTCCCTATTTTTTATTTAGAATTTCTTAATATATGTTTGTGTCAAATATTGTGGGCAGAAATGAATGCATCTTTTTTTATATTTGGCATTTATGATCTCTTTTTTTTAGCATCAAGAGAAGAATGACACTGCCATCAGAACTATTAGCATCAATAGCAATTTTGATGACCCCCCCCTCCCTCATTTGTGGGTCCTAGGAAATTAACACGCCTAAATACAAATAAAATCAGCTATCAAACTACATTCATCCAAAATTACTTGACGCTTTTAATTGATTTTCCGCTATTTTCTTTTATCAGGTTTAACCTTGTTTTTTTTGGGGGGGGGGGGGGGTGCTGAAATCTTGTGAAGGGATAAAACAAGTTTACAAAAAAAATCGCCGTTTACAGTTTCCTCCTCGTTGACTTGTATGGCCAAATGAAGCATATAAATGACCTGAATTAAATAAAATAAAGAACAATTACTACCCCCCCCCCCCCCCCTCCCTCCCTCTGATCTTGCGCTGAAAAGGAGTCCTGCAGAGATAAGGCAGATTGAATTCTCTCTGTTGTGCTCCAATAAAACCCGTCAAGAGAAGCGTGCGAGGGAGGAAGAGTTAAGGAGAGGTTTTAAAAGGCTGCCTATAATTTCAAATCATAATTCCCTTCCCATTATTCTTTTCAGACTCCGTTTATCGTTAAGGTTATTTATTTCAGGGCGTTGGAACCCGCGGTCTATTCCCGTGACTAAATTGGATAATTACAGGTGAGCGCATCGCAGCACGTTAATGAAATGTAAGAAACACTCAAAGCCAAACTCAGTATGTCGAAACAACAGTTATGGATACAAAAGAATGCTCATTGGCCTCATTTTCATTATGGGCGAAGGGATGAAAAAAAATAATATCCACGCCCGCTGTTACTCCTGAAAGTAATTATAATTGTCTAATTTCAAAGTTGAATTGGGACGCTTTAGGGGTTTGATGTAAAACTTCACATTCGGTTCAATGAAGTATCACCCTAATTTAAAGCTCTAGATAAGCACTAAGTCTGTCATAAAAAAAAAAAATCTACCCGTCTCCTTCCCCACTTTCCTTCCCGACCCCCCCCTCCCTCCCTCCCTCCCTCCCTCCCTCCTCCCCGCCTCGCTCCCTTCCTCTCCTTCCTTCCCCAGGCTTGAATTGCACCTTGGGCAACAGTGCAGAATCGCGAATCTTAACTTCTCCGCAGCATATGTTCCCGGCAGATAAGTAAACAATTTGGATGTGGGAATGGAATTTTAATTAATACTACTTCTAATGCGAGGCCAGACACACCGCGGCGGGCCCATCCTGATCCCCATTAGCAGTGAGCGGGATGAGGGTAACACAAAAATAAACGGGGCGGGATTCACGTTTAGAATTCCTCCTGTACGCGGTTCTCGTTCACTTTTGTCTTAACGGGAGTCAGAACTGTGTCGCTAGTGCAAGTTTAGGCGGGTTTAAACACGTGGGAATAGATTGCTGATAATAGGCGTCAGTTGGCGTTTTGGCTGCAACACCTTCCCTTTTTTTCTTGGCAGCGGAGATTTGTTTTTTTCTCTTCTTCGAAACCGCACCGAGGTGGAGGGGCAGCCCCCCCATGTTTTTGGAGAGGTGGGAATAGAAGAAGGTAAAAAGAAAAAAGAATCAAAGCTTGTTCACTTATTTGAATCTCATAAATTAGAAGAACGGGTCCCTCCTTGAAGTGATTAAGCAGTCAGACCTGAAGGACTGCGAGGCGGAGTCCCTCCAGGGAGGCCTCCTCGGAACTGTCAAACATCAGGAGATCACACAACAGGTTCATCCCGCAGTCACACAAACACATCGGCAATAGGAGCACACCTCCAGCGCGTCAGCCGGTTTGCTTACAGTGACAATGAACGAAGCCTCGTTAGGGGATTGATTAGAGAGGATGGACATGCACAAATTAAATATAGTGAAACGGGACTGATTTTTTTTATGATGTCATTGTTATTTCATATTCTGTATGTAATTCGGTATATTTAGGGGGGGAGGTGGGGGGGGGGGGGGTGTAAATAGGGCCTAACATTTGAAATGCAAAAAGAAAATATCGATTTTTTTTAAGCATTCCAGGCATTTTCGATGCGAGCATTTATTATTAAATCGCGCTATCCTTAATTATTATTAGTATATTCTGAGATTTAGAATAAACCTCATTCTGCCAAGTTGAACCCCCCCCCCGCAGCGCTCATGCACACATCGCTCCGCTATCTGTCTCATCTCAAGTGCCCAATAACCTACAAATACAGGAAATTGATAGCGTTGAAGACAGATTGTCTTTATTCGAAATGCCTTTGCTCAGCAATTGAACAAAGACCAGGAGGTATCAACCCTCCCAGATACATTATCCTCTCCATAACATGACAGCTTTTTAAAAATCACCATCTTAGATGATAATACACATGTAACTCCTTGAATTCAAATAGAAGTTATCCTTAAAAAAACCAAAGGAAAATAAATGACGCGTGAGACTATATTAGCACAGAACCACAGGTAAAAAAACAAACATTTTCGACTTAAATGATTATTTCTTCTTTTTTTTGTGTCATCTTAAATAGACCGTCAAGTTTCATGTGCCAGGTTTTTGATAAATACAAACAATATGTCCCGCATATAATCCAGCCTGTGGGTCCTGATGTTTACAACCTATAACATCGTGAAATCACGGTTGCCAAAATGTAGACTACTTAGGCCGATACAGGAAATAAGAACGCTAATTGTGCAAGCCAATTTTTTTCAAAATAAAAGAGTTCCCTATATTAAAAAAACAACACATGTCATCATATCGGCATTGAAATGTACACAATAAATAAAGTTAAAGGCCTCCTTATTTCTGGTTGCCATAAACGTTATAACATTTACATTTCTTACAGTTCACAGGGCACCGTCCTTTACACCATATCCACGCTCCTTCGCTCCGGTCGGGAACTTGTTGAATTTCTGGAAAAGTTTTGGGTTCATTTTCTCCTCCTTTTTTTTGCCATAACAAGTCCAAGGCAATTAATACTGTTCTGGCCTCTCTCTCTTTTTTTTTAAATGGGGCGCGTTGTCCATAATATATTTACATGCATTTCAGTATTCAAGTGAATTAAAAAAGAGAAAGAAAAAGCAAAACAGTCCCGAGGGTTACATGGCGGCGGCGTGTGCGGATGAATATGGGTCTATCCCACTCTTGGTCATACCTGGAAAAAGTATGTAGGCTACCGGGGGCTGTAAACTCGACGTTGACCACGCCGTGCAGTTGCACGGGACGACGTAGCCCGGGTTCGTGGGCGACGGGTGGGTGTGGGTGTGCTGACTCGGGCACCCGAGGGCGCCGAACGCGCCGTTCTGGTATCCCAAAGAGGACGCGTAGGGCAGGGCGCCGGCGCTCAACGCGTGCGGCATCTCCGTCATCTTCTGGATGGCGCTGGAGCTGAACTGGCTCGGGTCGAGGAAGGAGTACGGGGAGCTGGTGGGCGGCAGGAACGCCCGCGCCTTCTCCGAGTGGCTCAACAGGGAGTCCGCGGCCGAGACGGACAGACCCTTCAGGTGGTCGCTGTCGCCGAGGTAAGGCAGAGGGAAGACGTACCTGTCCATCTTCAGCAGGTTCTTGGGCTTGCGCCGGGGTCGGTACTTGTAGTCGGGGTGCTCCTTCATGTGCTGAGCCCGCAGCCGCTTGGCCTCGTCGATGTACGGTCTCTTCTCGGACTCGGAGAGCAGCTTCACTCGGCGCCGAGCCTTTTGCTGATCTCGGAGTTGTGCATTTTGGGGTTCTCCTGAGCCATTTTCCTCCGCTGGCCCCGGGACCAGACCATGAAGGCGTTCATGGGTCTCTTGATGTGATCGGCAGGCTTCGACATCTCTTCAGAAAAATAAAAAAAAATAAAGGTGGACTTGTTTTATCCTCAATGTTACCGACGAGGGGGTGCGGGGGGGGGGGGGGGGGAACAAAAAGTTGGTTGCGGGAGGGGGGGGGAAATATTCTCCTGTCCCGATGGCAGATCTACCAGTCCTGCCACGGCTGGGGATGTTCTGAGTCTGGGGAAAGGGGAGAAGGGGGGAGGGAGGGGAGGGGGGACGGCAAAAAAAAAAGGAAATAGAATCAAATAATAAGAATAAGAATCCAGCGAACCGGGGTTTGCTTTTCCCAGAGTTTTAAAAAAACACACCGCCGCGTTCAAGTCCGGTGACAGATGTCGTTCAGGACTGCAGCGGGAAACACGGGAGGAGGAAAAAAGCACATGTACGATGTAAAGAAATCCACAAAGGTGCAAGCAATGTTCCGCAGTCAGTTTGCAGGAGTCGTAAAAAAAAAGTGTTATTTTTCTTTTTGTTGCTGCGACACACTCTTCCTCTCTCTCTCTCTCTCTCCCTCTCTCTTCCCCTCTCTCGCTTTTCTCTCTCGCTCCCGCGCTGAAGGTTCGTCGTCGAGCACCTGGTTAGGAAATGAGCGGAGGAGCGTGAATACGAGCCAAAAGCGGTGAAGTTCAAAGGCTGGGCTGGTTTGGTTCCCGCACGCAATCTGACATAATCTGCAGGGCGTTCACTCGCCAACCTGAGCGCCCAATCAGCACGAAGACCGGCTAGTATAATACCTTCAAACACCCCCCGCCCATGAAAAAGAATTATATATATGTACATTACAACATAAACAAAGACCGCGGGTTGTAGGGAGAAGAATAAGAAGGGGAAAGGAATAAGGAAAGAGAGGGAGGTGGGGGCTGTGTTAAGGGGGGGTAAAGTACTCAGGATCCCTCCTCGAATCCATTTAATGTAATGAATCGCAACAAACATGGACCTTCAACCCTTTTTTCCAGTTAAAACCTGACTTCGAACCAGAGAGGTGACGGTACCGTGCTGGCGATGCTTTGCACAGACATATATGGCAGGTTTGTCAAATACATATAATAGGACATAGTAGATTTTTTTTTTTTTTAATAAATTATTTTGTATTTACTCTTAGGGGGATTTTTGAGGTATATATAATAATAATGATGTTAATAATACTATTATAATACAATAATTGAATAGGCTCTTAGTCTCTTCAGCATTTGAATATAGAAGGAGGGAACATCCCTGTCTTATTTAGAGACACTTCAACACCTGGGTGGTCACACAGTTTTAATATGTATATACATACATACACACACATATATATATATATATATATATATATATATATATATATATATATATATATATATATATATATATATATAAAAGTCTGGAGGAAACATACATCAGCTTGTTTCCTCCAGACTTTTACTCTAAAAAGGATGCCACAAGACAATATCAATTTACAATATAGTGAAACAGTCTGCCAGACGAACACACACACACACACACACACACACACACACACGCATATCGATACTGAACGTGTGTGCGGCTTGCGCTGTGACAGAATTACAAATACCGAGGAAATGTTACATCAACTGTAAACGCTCGGGAAGCCGCCATTGTGAGCCCATAATTGTTGCATTAGCTCGCATCGATCTGACAGAGTGGGTTTAAGGAGGCACGGAGTGATCTTTTTTAAAAATGCAAATTTCAATGGGGACCACATGCCTAATAGCCCTCGGGCTAATGCGCGTGATGTATGATCCCTTCAGCTGTGATTATTAAACAAAACGCAGACAGATGATTTATATTTTTTCCTCATACCACCAAAATGCTGTGATTGGAGATATATAGACGTGTAGTTAACCCCTATATTTAGTTAAAGTGGCATTTGAATATAAATACATGCGTCCATTTAGCAAGGCCCACATGCCTCCTATATTGTAGTTATCATCTCATCTTTCTGTGCACGCGCGCGCGGGTGCGTTACACGAATAGGCTGCACACGCCACTTCAAAGAAGATGATTGAACATGTCACCACATCACATTGACGTATCTCTAACATGCGTGTCGAATTAATGAAGAAGATGAATAACTAAATCACTTCCAAGGTGAGATGTGGCCACCTTATATTTACTCCCAGTGAGCTTTCATTATGTACACCAAAAGGTCAAAGTCATTTATTTTGTCTCCCACCCAATAGGACGAAGTGGAGTTTATTCTGCTGTCCTCTGATATTCCCACATTTCTCACGCTCTCTCTCCGCCGCGCGTCTCCGCGCGCACGCATGCGTCAAACCGGCAGCCCGCCACGAGGAGATTTACATCCTATGTTTCTTCAGATGCCACTGAAATTATTGTCAAAAATAAAAAAAAGGAGCATTTTTTTGGTGGGGGAAATACCCCTCACCCCTCCCGACCTGCAGAACAAGAGGACGCCCCCGACTCTTTCCCAACACGAGCGCCGTCTGGATTCCTGCAATCCGCAGACCGCGATTTTCGTCAGCATCCACGAGGTAGAATAATGCATGTTTCGGCGCATTCTTCTGAAGTTTTTAAATTATGCCGTGTTATCTTTCGCTCGACAGCCTATTTGCAATTCGATATGTGGCGTTTGTTGGCAGCCACATATGCACCGGCTTCGTTTTGAGATCAATGAATTAGATAGCCAGGGAATTATTTTAGGGGCTGAGCCTCACGAGAAGAGGGGGGGGTGATAGGGTTCTTATTTAAAAAAAGAAAACGATTGTCTAATAAACGCACGCCCGGAAGTTCCCTCGACAATTAAACGAGATAATGAGAAATGCTAAAGGTTTCCATTTGTCAAGGATTGAGTTATATATTTATTTTTCCAGCTGCAGCTTCTCTTCATTCCGTGTCAAATATAATCGTGAGGACATTTGACATGGATATATTGTTTGACATACAACGCTAAAAAATATATGATTTGGGCTAAATCAAATATGTTTAAAAAAACAAAAACATGCAGCTTAAAACTTCTCTCAACCTCCAAACTAAAGGCATGCACGTGAAATGATTGCATCGTCATAGCAAACAGAGAGCAAAAAAAAGGGAACGAGGAGAATAAGAGAGACAACAACATGTAATGTCATGTAATTCAACGGTGTATTTCAGGTTCATGGGGTTTTGAACACACTGTTAAAGGAAAAGCTCAGTAAAAATATTCTAAGAACAATGGCTGGTGAAAAGGTGCATTCCGATCCATTAAAATACCCCAAATGACCCATTGTGATAAATAATACATTCCAAATGACACAGGAAAAGTGGCACGTATTCGGGGTGCCCTCGGCCCAGCCCTCCCGTTACGCACGCACGCGGGCACACGCGCCTGCACGCGCGCGCACACACACACACACATAAGCACACAAAACTCGGATTAACTAAGGACACATGTCCATCCATCTCGCGTTAAAAAGTGAATGGGGAGCGGCCTGACACACAGAGAGCCTATTAGCCAACTGGGGCTCCCGCGGAGCGCATTGAGGTAAGCTCCCCCAGCGGAACTGTCCATGGTGCTGGAGCGGTAAGAGGGTTTCTTCACTGCACACGTGCGTCCTCCCTCAAAAACTCAAAAGAGCTAGGGTTGACATTTCAATGCCTTTCATTGTATTTCCATCCCATTTAGTGATGGTTCTGTGACAAAATCTATATTGGAAAGACACAGCTCACTTTCCTAACTTTTCTTTTTCATCAGCAGTATGTTTTTAAGCCAATTTCTTCATAGTGTGAAAGAACTATTCCATGTTTGGAACTAATATCTTTTTTTTATCATGAATTAAAATAAACACCTTTCTTATGTTGCCCAACTCTCTGTCAATTGCAAAAGTTTGAGCAGGGGCTTCATAGCACGTGCCTTGTGTGTAGCATTGCCTATTGAGTTGATTGTTATTTACAAGATGGATTGTTATTAGCGCTGACTGTGGTCTTTATTATTTACAGATTATATTGGAGATAATACAACTCACAAACTAAACTTTAAAAACAACACGACAACAAAGTGCCCAAACCATGTGCTCCTGGGTTGAAGGTTTACTGGTATTTGTACCATGCAGTAATTAGCCAGCACCTGGCTTTGCTTTTAAATGATTCCACAGACCTATTACAGTTTTCCAACTACCTTTTGAAAATATCATATGCTCTACCTTAATTTTTAACTAATTCTGACAGAAATGAGAATGATCAAGACAATTACGGAGATACAGTGTTAACTTGCAGTGCTCAATATTTAGAATGTTTTTCCGATCTTTTCTTACATTTTTCAACAAAAGTTACTGTAATGCACTCATTGAGGAGAATAGTCGGGACCGTCAGTCAGCCCTCCAAGTCACTATACTCAGTATTCTTTTTGAGAAAACTTTATTTTCTATTTTTAAAATAGAAATATTTATCCTTAATTAAATTAAACTGTATTTCGACTTTGAAAACATTTAAAACTCAAATTCAGCTCATTATACTAAATAGTATTCATTAACAATAAGAAGAAATCGCAAAAGCAATGAGCAGTATGTGAGACGTAATGCCAACATGGGGTATATATTACAGAAAACATCCAACTACATATCATATCTTTGTGGTTACATTTTTTCAGTAAGATAGAAGTCTGTCTTGAATAAAGTCTTTTAAAATGACTAACCTTAAGCTGCTCTTTTTTTATTCTGCAACACTGGATGGTACAAAGCAGAACGGAATTCATTTTTTTGACAAAGGTTCAAGGCATCGGGCAATAATGAAAGGATAGGGGCGATACTTCAAAGACCACAAGGTGCACATCACACAATTATACAATACAATTAGGATTAAAAGGGGCAAAGGAGATAAGAGGAGATAGGGATATATTATCACAAAAGGAAAGATGTGACTCTCTCCTGACCTTCATTAAGAGGGAAAAAAACTCATTTAGAGCTGGCCTTCCTTGCAGGGGGATTTGAGCCTTTTGCATGAGACTGCGACTCCCTAGATAAGATTTGCAGAGTATAACTGAGAATCCACTAAACAATAACAACATGCATGTCCAGAAAAAGATAATACAATAAATAGTCCTTCACAGGTTTGTATAAATTGCAGATAAATGTATTTAGATAGTTGCTATGTAAACAGACTAATTTTTGACAGTTTCTTGGTCACAACACACAAATATGCTGTATATATGTACTGTATAACCTTATTCCCCGTAGCCACAATACTTTCAGTGTCCCCACCAACAATACAACATATTTAGAAAAGTTGGAGAGGAGTTGGATAGACATCAAGAGGATACAAGAAGACCCATCTTGTCTTCACCGACTTTTATTTTTCCTACATGACATCTGCTTAATGCCGATCATGTATCGGTAGTGTGATTATCAAATTTGTTTTCATCTGCATGAACAACATCCTAATCACTCATTGGCTCTCCAAAGATTGGCATGTCTCTGTAAGGTTGTCTACGGTCTGAGAGCAGAGTAAAGATGATTCAGACTACATTAATGTGATGTCTGGTGAATAGAACTACTCAACAAAAAATGGTACTTAACCACAGTGTTCTCACTCCCAACTCATCACAAGCTCAGTCCGCAGCTTCAAACAAGGTCTAGTATCAGTTTTACACGTGTTGGGGACAGCGTGTCAGTTATCACTCATCACATGCATAGTGATATTGGAATGCGCCATCAGATTGTTACTTAAATTGTTCACACGTTTCTACGCAATGAAAATAAAAGGGTTTAATTCTCTTTTTTTCTTCGTTTTTAGTGCTTTTACTCAACCCTATATATGAAGTACAGGGGGACACAGAGAGCATCTGGTGTCCTAAAATGGCACTATACTCCCTCCCGTAATAGTTAATCTAAACTCCTCCCTGTCCTTTGTTTGGAGGTGGATGCCTCCAATGTGGAATAAAGTTTCTCCACTAAAGACCATCTCCCAAGGTTCAGAAAAACCATCCTTGTGCCTTTTTTCCTCTTCTTAAATCTGCTAAACCAAACTAGGAAATCAGTGGTGGGTGCTGCAGACTATGCAAGAGGAAGAACAGAACCACTGGCTTACCCCAGAAAAGCAGCCTCCATCCAGACAGTAAAGGCCAGACTATCAGCGAGCCAATTCCACCTTAGTCTCACACGGTCCAATTATCAGAAATATGATTTGTTACCCGACCTCAACCACAGGTGGACAAACTCAATTCAATCAATGGCTCCTCTGTTATCTTAGTTTTCGTTGCAAACATTCGTTCTTTCTTCGATGACATTCATTGGAAACAAATAGTTTCTGTCTCGGCCCGATGTGGAATCATAAAGGTCTCACACAGGTTTTCTGCCATCTGGAAGACAACAACATCATCTCATGCACAGCTTCTAATTTAGTCCAGTACCTTAACCTCTCTCCTGCGAACGAAGAAGAACAACCCATGACCAGTCACATCTTCTACCTGCATTTGTATGCAATATCAAATGCATCGGGTCCTCGATGATGGTTTCTTGCGCTCCTTGTCAATCTAACCTCCCATATCTTTCCCCCATCTAGTAGCAGATGGGACACTTCAACAAGAGCCCTGAGGGTACCCATCACTTCCTGATGTCCAGCAATCAACACTCTGAGACATCAACTCTATCAACTCTAGTACTTCTAGATCTCTCTTTGTGTTGTCATTCATGGGTTGGAGAAAGAAGTTCATACGGGACATTGTCTGCTTTAGTTTTTTCGCTCAACTTGAATTATTTTTTATCCTTGCTTGCACACCTTGGGTGCAGCTCCTATCACCAACTTCCAATGGAATCATCCAAAGCAAACTATGGACATCAAACTGTTTGCAAGAACAACACCGTGCTTGGGAGAAGGCGCTCTATGATTACTGTGCCCAGGAACATACCTGTAGCTCTGTCTTCCTCCTCTCTAACCGAGAGGAAGTTAATACTGAAGACATAGAGGTCAACAGATTTGTGGGTGAATAAAGAGTTATGAAAAGAGTTGTCAAATCCAGAGATGGGATAATCTTTTAAGATAATTTAAGATCTATATAGTCTACATTATTATTGTATTAATCAGTGTAAAGCCTTTGGAAGCATGAGGTAATTAAACAAATGCTGTCATAGCTGATGAAATGACGATGTACACAATTGAACTCATACAACAGCCGGCTCTCAACTGTGATGTTATTCAATCTTATGCTACATTCTGTATTTGGAGCTATTCTGAAATGTAATAACAGCTGTTCCTTTAAAGTATTATGACACATTTATACCCACTCATTAACTCTCATTATGGCCCACAGCCATATCTCATCAGTGGACATAATTGGTCGACTGGAGTCCGTCCCAGCACGGACACCCTACACTTTATTATAAATATGACATGGAATATTGTGAGATATAAGTGAGTTTTGATTAATTTGGTTATGAAACAGTGTAGACACACATTTGGAAATGTTGCATTTACTAGGAAAGCACATATTTATGCAACAAACTCTTTTCATCTCCTACCAACAGGGCCAACAGTGCCTCCACCGAGTGTGAGACCCGATCCTCGAGACGTGCACACAGCTTCAGCCAGGTGATGAGTATGAACTGGGATTGAAAATCCACATTCCACAGTGCTTCTTTGAACGTGTCAGAATTATACATACCAATCAACTCTATCTTGTACCCTTTCTCTGCGTGTTGTCTACAGGATTTGCAGTTGAGAGGTGGTACAAACAGCTGCTTTAGGAATCGGAGCTGGACTGTAGGTATTGTAAAACCGACAGACAACTCAAATATGAAGTAACGTAAAAGAGACAGTTGAAGAACGTAAAAGCTTTTGAGGTCAGAGCGACTGATGGGAGAAAAAAAAATACAAATCTGTATCAGCAAATGATTAATTAATTTTAGTTGAATGATCTGCTTTTGCATTGCAAGATACCAGTTCCCATTTCTTTTGCACTTTTACAGAAGATCTCAAGAGACCGCCAGTTCAAAAGACGGTTCAATTTAAGAGTTCCCATCGGAAATGGTTTCAGAAAGTCTTTGCCATACGTTGGCGCTTTGATGTGTTTTAACTATCGTAATCTTGCTGTTCAGCGATGGGATAATAAATTATGTTCATTATTCCACCGTATGTGCTCTCTCTTTTTTGACTTCACATTACATTTAACATTCGCTGCAAAAATATGAAAATATTACCATAGAAATGAGAATGTGGAACATAGATCTAGTTGCATTTGCTGCATCATAGTGAGAGTATATGAAACAAATTAGTTTGTGATAGTATATACACAGTATATAGTATATAATGATTATGATATTTCAAAGAACAGCCAGACTATTTGGTAAAAACTGACCTTTCTCCTGAAAGACAGTGGTTTTGATTGGATCATAGCGATCTATTAGTCCATCGGGTTTGACCCCCATCGTGTCACAGTTGGAAGGTGACTCCATGTCATAGAGTCAAAGGATGTCCTTTGAACTCGCTAGGTCATTTATTAATAAAAGAAAAGATTGATTTTGTGTCATAAGAATCCTTTTCAGTTTTTTTCCTAACTAGCAGTCGTCTTTGGCTTACGTTGTGACCTACACGTTGCTTTCTATCAAGTGTCACATTTAGATATATATGCATTCGCAGGTAAATCTCTGATAGCTGTCTATTCAAAAGCAAACAAAACTTGAAAAGAGGATATAACCTCAACTCAGAACTCTGGAGGGGTGGACTAAGATTGAAATTGGTCCGACTCTTTCTCTCTCTCTCTCTCTCCCTCTCTCTCTCCCCCCCTCTCTTTCTCCCTCTCTTGAATTGAGGGTCCATTGTTGTGCGTCAAACAAAAGCTTTTTATCACAGGCTCTTAATGTAACCCCGTCTCCTCACTCTCACGGCCACCAACTCGTTCTCCTCTTCCTCTCTTTTCTCATTCATTTATTCCACTGTGTGTGGAAATAGGCTGGGCAACAATTAATTTCAGAGTGAATTCAGGCAGGATCTATTACCCCTCTCTGCCTCTATTGCTCTAATGGAAATCTATTTCACTTCTCTTTTGTGTCCAATATAATTTAATGCCCATTTTATTAATGGCCTGAAATAATTACGGAAGGCTTTTGTGATTCTTGAGTATGTTTCATTTAATTGTGTAATAAATGTCTAATCAGGGCTCCCATCTGAAGCCATTATGGCATTAAAATTAACAATTACGCCACAAATGTCTTGGTGAATGCGTTGGGGTCTATAGAAATCGTTGCTGATAACAAGACACATATAAATCATTCATGAGAATTTTTTTTCAGAGAAAAGCGGAGTGAGAGATAGGAGGGTGGGAGGGAGAAAAAAAGAAAGTGGGGGAAGAAAAGAGGAGAAGAAAGAGGCTGAGTTTTCTTTATTCCATTGAAAAACCGGGGATGGCCAAACGATAGGGCATTTTAAAACTGTGTCACCCTCTCCAGTTCCTTTCTTCCCCCGTCTCTCTCTATCTCCCTTTAATTTGCCTTCCTCTTTATTTTTGAAGTGACAGATTTCACTTTGGGAATTCATTAACCGTTAACTTGGGCGATAAAATATCTATCAGGCCCTCTGCCCGGTTCCTTTGCTAAGCTGCGTGGCGCTCCGGTTCATCGTTGTGGGTGACCGAAGGCAATTAAAGAGGCTTCACACTCCCTCACTCCCCCAGTGTCACTTCCTCAGTGAAAACAGGAAGGCTGCTCAACGTACCAGCAAGAATTGTTTTCTTAGTAGCCAAGTATACAAATTTCATGGTGTGGGGAAACTCCATCTGCTGCAAGAAACCCTCGTCAGTTCCTCTGTGTCATTTCGAAGCTAATATACTACAATTGGTTTTGGTGAATCTATTTTAGCAGCATAAGGTTTTGGCCTTCTTTGTTCTCTATTACCATGATGCACAAAGGGCCTCCCGGGGCAATGGATTGGACCTTGGTCCCAACCAGACTCTTTCAAGTGACTTAATCAAGTGCCTTTGATGTCGATGACATCACTTGTTAATAAGAGGGCCGATTTTATTCTCGATCCAACATCCATTTTTTGAATTGCGCAATCTTGGATAAGTTGGTTGATATGAGCCGTCTCTGACTCTGCCTCCTTTCTGCTGCTGGAGTTCCAATGATTCAGCCACTGGTTAGTCAACTAGGCCAGCTCCAGCCTCGGACAAATGTGTTCATGCTAAATGTTTCCGTTGCTCATATGCACTGCCGATCTAAGAGCTGTACGTCCAGCTTTTTAAGATAAAAAGAAAATGTGAGATGTATTGTACGAGGCTCGTACATTCATGACAAGTTCATCTGTAATTCTATGTATTGTATATTGATCATTTCTTTGTTTTGTTCTTAAACGTGGAACCTTCACTGTCAATGACGCATTTTAACCACTTATATAATAATGTAAAATCTTTATAAGTCTTGATAACAGAAACAGCAGAACTTTGCAAGCAAACTACTTTGCTGTTCAGCCAAGCTGTCTTATAACGGCCCAAAGCCTCTTGTGATTAGTTATCTTTAAAAGGTCGTGTCCTGATATTAGAAGAATTCCTTAATCGTTCAGAATGATTCTTCAGTACATTATAGAAAAACTAATAACCCAGTTTATGGGCTAATGTCGGCCCACATGGAACAATAGATCCAACTTACTGGAGATTTCTTTCCCAGGAATGCCATAGATTTTTTGATTGATGAATGCATTGATATATGCAGTATACATATCAGGAACCACTGAATGCCCCATTAAGGCATACTTTAAAAAAGATAACGATACCGATAAAAAAATAAGAACTAGAGGCAAATTCTAATTCAAACTCAATGAATTCACGGAAAGAAGAGCAAACCCGCACAGGCCCTCAGAGAGAGAAATGACAAACTGAACACAAATCACTTCAACCATCTCAGCTATTTACTACATTTCTCCCTATTAGGGCTTCTTTTGTTGAAACAGATCTCCTATACAATTATGCATTTAACTGATGTGCAAATTAACCTTGGCATTTTTACAAAAGCACTTGTGTCCACGCCTTCAACCCCCTTCTTCTTCCAACCAATTTAATTCCAAGCTCCAGATTTCATGGTAAATTTTATCTCCCTCACACTCAAAGACTCCATCATCAATTCTTCGCAACTTTTCTTGTCCCCTTTCTCTGCAGATTCACTGCGAAAATTGGCCATTCAGGTTATCAAATAACCGTGACCGCTATAATTCTACGGCAACACCCGTTGCTTTGAATATGCATCGGGAAGGCTGACCTGCAGCGGCAATTAGTCTCTGTTTATCCTTCACACAAATCACACAGCTCCTGCTGTTCTTTCTTTCACGCTCTTTTTTTTCAGCTGAGTAAGAGGACTGAAACAGCCAGGAAGTCAATCCTCACTTAAAGCCAACTCCACCTCTTTAATTCATGCTCTGGTGAAATCATGATATAAATATAGTTAAAGGCACATTTCAAGCAACAGTAGATGAACAGCTCAGTTGGCTGTCATTTTTTCTCACCAGATTTCAGTCATGTTGAATTTGCACATTTGCGCATGTATAGAAAAATGGAAATGGCCACAGAGAATAAGAGGAACCAAGGAAGTGTAACAACAACAGCGTCTGCCAAAAAGCTTGGTTTCCTGACATTATAGGCAAGTTCCTGAGCGATGCTCATCATCCCCAGAGGAGAAGCCTCCCTGTTAGCTGCGCAAAAAAAGGTCTGTGTGTTTATGGATCACGATGGGCTGTAATGTCATCAGCTTGATACACATTTAGAGATGCAGGGAGCGACTTTGCAACAGCTGATGGGGATGTCGCACTTTGGACGGAAGAAACATCATATTGTTGAATTTTTGAAGGTTTTCAGATAAATACATTTGCCATTTATTTAATTCATTAGTTAAAAATAAAGACAAAGTTAAAGACAAACATAGAAGGAATATTGTGTTGCTAATCACAAGGAACTGTTGGCAGAAATAAAACATAATATCATTTGGTAGGTTTTTTAACCTGATAGGAATAATTGTGTTCCCGTGTTCTCAGAACGCCATCTCTCTGTACACGAGGACCACCTCACAGGCGTCTTCCTACAGTAGCCCAGTAGGGACAAACCACTTATTCTAAGTCGCTTTGAACAAAGCCGTCTGCCAATGTAATCTAAAGTCTATTGTTGTTTGTTACTTTTTCTTGTGGCATAAAGTACAGTTTTCACTTTTTCTTTGCCTTGTAATGCTGCACAATATTTCTCTATAAGAAGTAATAAAGATAAAGGCAATATCTTTATGACATTTAGTCACACAGTCTGAGTCCTTTCCTTTGTCTTTTAAGAGACCATGGGCTATAATTGGAGACCAGTGCACATCATCTCTCGGCTGAGAGGGTAAATGAGGGATCCCTAGACTCCAGGATTACCCTATTATTGAGAAGACGTTTCACTAAGCCTCTACCACTGACACATATTCCTGTTCTATGGCCTATTCACTTTAAAATATGTCTTGTCAGGAGGCTTACAGAAATCTACATAATCCTTTTCATCACAATTAAAGATACCACTGAACAATAAAATTGCTTGCTCTCTGGTTTGTTTCATGTTGCTTTGAGAGAAAAAAGGAAAACAGGGGAGAGGGAAATAAGGCTCAGCGTCGCTAAAGGTTGCAAAAGGCTCAGATGAATTTGGGATCGTGCCCGAGGAGGACAAAGAACTTGATAACGTATTTTAACCTTTACAAGTGCACAGCAGTCTTATACGACAGGGATGCAAAATGGTCTGTTGAGTGATTTGTCAAGATTTGCAGATTTATTACTGTCTTGATTATTAAAAAAAGTCTCTTCTGAGAAGGTAATACCACAGAAGTTTCAATTTCAGAAGACCACAAGCCTTCTTTTTCTTTGTCTTTAGAACCACAGCTGTAATTGCGCTCAACATGCTAATGCTAGCAAGTCAAATAGGTGGTTTGTAGGCTCTGGCTATGCGAGATTACAGATATCTAGTCAGGATCCTACTGATCCAGCATCTCCCTTACAGCCATATACATTTCTGCTCAATCTATTTGTCCAAATTACATTAAAGTAATCTTCAGAAACACCTATGAATATGTCCATATATATATGTATATAGATAAATATATATATATATGTATATAAATAAATAAATAAATATA